CTGAGCTGTCAGCACAGAGCCCCACACGGGGCTCAAACTCAGGAACAGCGAGATCATGACCTAGGCTGAAGTTGGACCCTTAACCAACTGAGCCACCCAGGCACCCCAGTTAAAGTCATTTTAAAAATCCCAGCTATGTTTTAAACAATCCCATTATAATTACACCAAAAATAATAAAATACCGAGGAATAAATCTAACCAAGGAGTTGGAAGACTTTTACCGCCCAAAACTGTAAAATACTGATAAAAGAAACCTAAGATGACACAGAAGAATGAAGACACTCCATGCTCATAGACTGGAAAAATATTAAAATACTACCCTAAGCAATCTACAGATTCAATGCAATCTCTATCAAAATACCAACAGCCTTGTCACAGAACTACAAAAAATACTAAAATTTGTATGGAACCACAGAAGACCTGGAATAACCAAACTAAGCATGAGGAGAACAACAAAGCTGGAGGAATCATAATCCTAAATTTCAAGATATACTACACCAAGACAGCATGGTACTGGCATGCAAACAGACATACAGATCAATGGAGCAGAATAGAGGCCAGAAATAAACCCACACTTACATAGTCAATTAATCTATGACAAAGGAGGCAAAAATGTAAAGACAGTCTCTTCAATAGATGGTGCTAGGAAAAATGGACAACTATATGCAAAAGAATGAAACCAAGATACTTTCTTACACCATACACAAAAATAAACTAAATAAGGATTAAAGACCTAAATGTGAGACTTGAAACCATAAAGCCCATAAAAGAAAGCATAGGGAGTAATTTCTTTGGCATTAGCCTTAACAATATATTTCTAGATATGTCTCCTTGGGCAAGGGAAACGAAAACAAAAATAAACCATTGGGACTTCATCAAAATAAAAAGCTTTTGCACAGTCAATAAAACCATAAACAAAACTAAAAAGGGTGAAGATAGTTATAAGTGATATATCCAGTAAGGGATTAATATCCAAAATATGTAAAGACCTTATATAACTCTATACCAAAAAATAAATACATACATACATCATCTGATTAAAATGGGCAAAAGACTTGAATAGGCAATTTTCCAAAGAACACATACAAATGGGCAACAGACTCATGAAAACATTCTCAACATTACTAATCATCAGGGAATTGCAAATCAAAACCATAATGAGATATTACCTCATATGTGTCAGATATGGCTAGTATCAAAAAAATGAGAAATAACAAGTGTTCACAAAAGGAAAAAGAAATCCTCAGGTACCATCGGTGGGAATGTAAATTGGTACAACCACTGTGGAAAATAGCATGGAAGTTCCTCAAAAAATTAAAAATAGAAATACCATATGATCCAGTAATTATACTACTGGGTATTTACCCAAAGAAAACAAAACCCGTAATTCAAAGAAATATACGCACCCTTATGTTTACTGAATCATTATTCACAAGAGCCACGGTATGGAAGCAGCCCAAGTGTCCACTGACAGATGAACATTATATATAAATAATGTGTGTGTGTGTGTGTGTGTGTATAATGAAACATTACTTAGCCAGAAAAAGGAATGAGATCTTGCCCTTTGCAATAACATGGATAGACCTATAGGGTATTATGTTAAGAGAAGTCAGAGAAAGACAAATACCATATGATTTCACTTACATGCAGAATTTAAACAAAAATGTACAAACAAACAGACTCACACACAGACAACAAACCGATGGTTGCCAGAGGGGAGATGGATGGGGGATGGGTGAAATAAAGGGGATTTTTAAAAGAAAAAAGAAATCCCAACCATGTTTAATTTTCAAGCATAGTATTAAGTTAATAACTTCTGTGGTGTAATCTATAAATCTATGACAAAGACTATGAACAAAGGAAAAAAGCTTGTAAAAAACATCTACTGACATTACTGAATTAAAGATATGTTCAGTAGCTTGTCATTTCAGAGTGGCATCCACTTCATCAGGCTCTGATTTTTATGTATTTCTCTTTTTTTTTTCTTTTTCTTAAACTATTTTTACACAGGGTGCTCATAGCACTGAATCTCAAAGTATGGATCATGTATGATTCGCCTTTTCTCCTTAGTTTTAGTCCTCAACATAGGCTTTAAATAACAAAGGGAGGTTTAAAGAGTTTAGTAAAAAAAAAAAAAAAAAAAAAAAAAAAAGTCTTATTTTACCTCTGGCATGCCTTGGGCTGAGAAAGCATTATATGGTGGAACAATGTTTGTAACATTCTCATATCCATCTGGTGGTGGCTCAAGGTATGATGTATTGAAAATCTAGTGAGAATCGAAACACATAAAGTTGGAGAGAAATATTCCAGATTTTCCCCACTATCAAGATTAAGCATTCCGAAACTAGATTCAATAATTAAACAGGTAAATTCTACTGGCAACAATGAAAAAGAGCTTTATCATTATTATCGCCTTCAAAATAATAGCAACTCTGCAAATTAATGCCATCTCAGGTGACTAGAAATTCCTATATAAAAACAGGGCTTTGAAGGTGGCATCCCCATGGTTCTCCTCCTCCTTTTCCAGTGACTCCTTTTCTTTCAATTCCATGTAAATGATATTTTCTGTGTTTTATCCCCAGTCCACTGTCTGCCTCATTTTATACTCCCTTCCCGTAAGATTTCATTGACTCTCAAAGTTTTAACCTTAACCAATATACTTATAATACCCATATTTCCAGACTTGTATTTTTAAGGGCCAGATGGTTATTTCAGATTGGATGTCCAAACTCAGTATGTCAAAGTTTGAATTTATTATCTCTCACCCCAGGCCGACTTCTGGTTTGGCATTCCCTGCGATTACCAGCAGCGTCAGTAGCCAGCAACCCATTCCAAACACTAGGAGTCACCCTGAACTCTGTCTTCATCTCCTGCCTCCAGTCAATCACTAATCAATTCCTACTAATATTGCTTTCTAACTGTTTCTTAGATCATCCCTCTTCCTCATTCCTGCTAACATCCTGATTCAGGGAATCATCATTTTTCACCTGGACTATTAACTTAAGACTTCAATTTGAATTTCTTGCCTAGTCAAGGTCTAATCTGAAGACAGCCTAAACTATCTAAAAGATGCCTCTCTAGTCACATCCTTCCATTGCTTAGGACTTGCAAATGGTATTCACTGACTGAAGTTGAATTCTAAGCCTCTTACGACAATGTATAAGCCCTTTTATGACCTGTTCCCAAAACATTTATCCTGGTTTATCTCTTACAGTGGCCCACTTTGTACTTTACATTTTTGAAATACAGAAAAATTTTAAGTTCCTCAATAATACTAAGCTAGTATAGGTCTCCAAACCTTTGCCTTAATTTTCTCTTCTGCCTAGAATTCTTTTACTTTGATTTTTCATGTAGTTAACCCCTTCGGATCTTTCATAACTCACATATCAGGGAGGTCTGCTTTCAGAAAGCCTTCTCTAAATCCGTGTCTGGCTAAGTGAACCTTTTCTGTGTAAAGAACCGAAACCATACTCTTCCTAACACTTACCGTCTTAACTTAAAATGATGTGTTCCAACGTCTGCCATACCTTACTTAAAGCAAAGAGACCATGTTCCTAGACTTCATTCTGGCTTCAAGACTTAGCACTGTGCCTAACACACAGTAGACACTGAATAATTAGTTTGTAACCTATCAACTTTTCGAAGAAATATGAGTTCCACTGCACTATTAGCAAATTTCTATTTTTACTTGACCCTACATCCCAATTCACATAAACAAGTGGGGTCATAAAATACAGCAAGTACCAGCAATTCCACATCACCTCAATTCCATGTTCATCCACGATTGATATATAGTTGGCATTTGTCTCATTAGGGTAGGATAGGAGAACATCATAATGAACCAACTCGGCTGAATCCAGTCCAAATTTCTTCCACTGGGTTTGGATTTTCTTGGCAAGAAGTAAATTTTGTTCTGTTCCTGCCAGATGAGGGAGCTTTGTAAAAGAACTACAATGAAAATAAAATACAAGTGGGTGTTAAATCTATATTCAGACAATTTGCTAAGGACTGTTCTAGAGGTATCACTCATCATTTACATACTAAATTATTTCTACATCAGAGATTTAAAAAAAAAACAGGTAGTGATACCAATTTCTAGGTAAGCCAATAAAAACTATGTGTGTGTCACTATAATTTTCACATTATACTTCCCTGGCAAAGAACATATTCCATGGAAAATACATGTATGCAGCTATAAGAAGGCACCTTGGAAGGTCATGCCTCTACACCAGTGGTGCTTCTTCTTGCTGATCATCAGTAGAGGAGGACATTTTGGGGGAAGGGGAGTTCATAATATTTTCCAGAGACCAACTGGGCAGTCTAACATATACTTCTACTAGAGTCTTGTCATATTTATTCAGTTGTTTATTGATTTTATTGAAGTTAAAGTCCATGCATTTTTTTTTTTTTTTATATTGCCTACTGCTTAGTTCCTGCCTGTTATCCAGCAATAATACAATACAGGTTGTTGAAGTGAATTTGGGCAATGTTCTCTTGGTTCTGAGGGTAAACGGGTTGTAGCATTTAAGTAGCCTCATAAAAGTAGTTTTTATATCAGTTCACTTTACATGAGTGTAAACCATATTTTCAAAAGTTTCAGTAAAATAATAATGCTTTTGTAAATCGGCTTTTTAGTCAACCATACGACAACCAAACAACAACAAAAAATATAGGCAGTAAAGGAAAGTTGATATTTACAGAAAACTTTTATATGCCAGGCATGTGACCAGGTACTTTCACCTGAGTTACCTCATTGAATCTTCACAACCCTTCTTCCACTGTCCTCATTTTGCAAATGAGGAAGCTGAGAGGGCAAACAACTTGCTCACAATTTCATAGCCATTAAATGCTGGGGCTAAAATATGAAAATCATGGGACTCCTGGGTGGCTCAGTCAGTTAAGTATCCAACTTTGGCTCAGTTCATGATCTCACGGTTTGTGGGCTCAAGCCCTGCGTCAGGTTCTGTGGTGACAGTTCATAGACTAGAGCCTGCTTTGGATTCTGGGTCTTCCCCGCTCACTGCCCCTCCCCCACTCAAACACGTGTACTCTCTCTCAAAAATAAAAAAATATTAAATAAATAAATATGAAAGTCATAGTTGTCTGACTTTGAGAAATAGTGATAATTTGAAATCATTCATATTATTTAACTACTTGAACTCCTTGTATGGCTCCCTGCACTCTCCATTATCACACTCAAACATGGCGTATTGGGTCCTTTTTCATCTGATTCACCCTTCTCCTTTCCATTTCCCATCCCTCTCCACCATGCAGCATTTGGTAGACTCATTTTCCTTCTGCAGTGACCACCTGTTCCCTTTGCACAAGATCTTCTCTCAGACATAAATACTGTCCCATCTACCTGAATCTCCCTCTGTCACCACTTCTTTTATTCCCCTTTCCCACTTGCAAACTACTCATCATCCATTAGGACTCCTCCAGCATCTTCTCCTCTGTGAAGCTTTCCCTTTATCATTAAATGAAAACTACAGGTTACAGACATTTAACATCTTACAATAGGTTTTAAAAAGCATTATTGTGTTTATAGAAAGAAGCAATTTTATTTTTTTCTTTATTTGAAAGAAGTTATTTTATATGTATGAAAACAGTGAGGCTCAAGATATTTAATTTCTACTTTATATAATTTATTATTGTTTTATTTTCTACATTGAGCAGATAATATCATTATAACTAAGAACAAAATGTATTTCCTTAAATTAAGATGGAGGGTTGGCCATCAACTTCTGCTATCCATCTTTTAAAGAATTCACTGAAATGAAATACCAAAGTGTAAAAGTGAAACAAAACAAAAAGAGCAGCAGTGTGTAACATCCTTTAGTTTATTTTAAAAGTTCTCCTTATGGTCCCCAAGATGGGTACAGTTCCAGGCATAAAATATTGACACTGTAATGCTTAGGAGAAACAAGTACAAACAGGAATATCTATTTCCTCTTCTGTGTTTCTTTTAACAGAGGAAAACTTTTTGTAGAAGATCCAGCTAAACATTCTTTTCGTTTCATCATAATAGGGTATATACCTCTTAAACGAATCACTGCCAAAGGGAAGAGTTTTAATGATTGGATTATGGACCAATCAAGAGATTCCTGAGCTGGAAGGAAGTAACCCTTACTGAATACATGAAGGATGAGGAACACTCAACAGTCGTCAGTCAGACACTGTCAAGAAGAAAGTGGGTAGGGATAAATCAAACCGTTCTTATTACATTATAACTGCTAACCCAATCTTGATCACCTTTCCCTCCTAGGCTCCTTCACTGATCATAAACCCTGTACATCCATGATCAACAGTTTTGTATCCTCAGCCCCTTCTCTGAATGTTTGCTTGACTTCCTTGCTGTAACTGGTTTCCTCAGAGGACCCTGCTCACCTGCAAGTTGTTTTATTTCACATGCCCCCACATATCTCAGGGCTAGAAGATCTGCTACTAGTTTTTACTCTCCCTTGGCTCTTACAAATATTTTTCCTTTTTTTTTCTTAACAAAAAAACACGACTATTATAGCTCATACCAAAAGTTACCACATACTACACCTTCTGGGTACTTGTCAAAATTGTCAAAACTTCTCATTCATTAGAGTGTTGAGTTCCTAATTCAATGCTTTTCACTCTATTTCTACTCTTGTCATCATTCTTCATGTGCAACTTCTGTATTCAGTTGGATGTAAAGGAAAGAAAAGCAAACTCCAAAAATATAATTATATAAACTATTTATACATAACTAATCACCTTATGCTATACTACACATTAAAGGAAAATAGAGATAAATTTTAATGGTCAAAAATATTACTAAGTTTTGCTTCTGACATCTTTCTAGGTGACTTTTTTCAGCAACTTCATAATATGCTGCAGACAGAGTTCGATAGTATTAACATTATATCTCATCTTTTAACTTACACAATTTAAATACAAGTATTCTGTCTCAACTGATAAGACATTTTGCCTTTATATTGTACTGCAGGAAAAATAAAGACTGAGTCTCTCTTTAAACAATATGCATCCTAACTGCCTGATTCTTTTCCTTTATCTCTAAACAAGCACCTCAACAGACATTTTGAGTTTGCTTCATAATCTCTAATGCACCTCAATCATAAATCAGCTCAAATTTGACGACAATGTAGCTGTTTTCATTCCTCATTACTACAGCTCGCTCTAGTTTACCCAGAGATGAAGATGGAACTTCATGACCTCATTAAATCACAGAATTGATAAGGAGGAAATAAACCACACTGCACACACTTTATTTGATTCTAGGGTTTAAGTGGAGTCTCAGAAGGGGAAAAGAGAATCTGCAGAAAACTTTAAGAAACAGTGAATAAAACCTTCCTAAATTAGTGAAAGACAGAAGTTAACAAAGCCAAGAATCTCAGAGAGCCATAAACAGAATAAATTTGAAGAAAACTAGGCACATGGTAAAACTGCTCAAAATTAAAGACAAAATGACATATGTTATATAATTTAAATGACTGTAAAGTTCTCATCAGATGCCAATACGAGACAAAAGACAATGAAAAACATTTAAAGTTATGAAAGAGGAATAAAACAAGGTCATGTTAGCAATCTATATTCAGGAAAAGTATGCTTCAAGAATTAAGATCAAATAAGGATTTTATACATAGAAAAAAATTACAGAATAGTTGTTATCACCAGAGTTCATATTACAGTAAATGCTTAAGAAAATTTCACAGACTACATAGAAATACCATAGCAAAACCAAAATTTTTCAGAAACAAATGAAGATCATTGGAAATTAAATACAAAATACTATTTTAACTCTTTTATCTTACAGAGAGAGCACAAGAGGAAGAGAGAATCTCAAGTAGGCTCTAAGCTCAGATCTCAGTGTAGAGCCCAAGGCAGAGCTTGATCCCATGACCCTAGGATCATGACCCCTGATGAAGTCAAGAGTCCAGTGATCAACTTCCTGAGCCACCCAGGCACCTCAGCTCTTAAATGAATTTCAATACATATAACATTCAAAGAAAAATTGATAATTGTTTTGTAAGGTTAATATTGCAGTGCACATATGCTACTTTTGACAGCTATAATATAAAGAATGATAGAGGAAAGGGTGAATGGAAATATAGAAATCTGAGTTTTTCATATTGTATGTTAAGCTGTACCAAAAATAACTAAGATTTGAGAGAAGTAGGGTGCTTGGGTGGCTCAGTTTGGTTGAGCACCTCTTGATTTTGGCTCAGGTCATGATCCCAGAGTTGTGGGATTGAGCCTCAGGTTGGGATGTGCATGAAACCCACTCACATGCTCTCTCTTTCCAATAAAAAAATAAAATAAAATAAATAATTGAGTGAAGAGTTATAGATGTATGATATAATCACTACAGCATCTACTAAAAAACCCAATGCAAGGACGGATAGCCAAAAGATAAATTGAAATGAAATAAAATTTTAACTACTCTTCCCACTACCAAAAATAGGTCAGAAAATGAGAAGTAAAGGAAAATAAACACAGCAAACAGAAAACAATAAATTAGTAGACCTAAGTTTTAACCATATCAATAGTTACATTATATGTTAATGGACTAAATACTGAAATTAAAGGGCAACAGATTACCAGAAGGAATATAATAGCAAGTTGCTACTATCTGCTGCCTACAGAGGACACACTTTAATTAAGATTATCAAAATGTATTAAACATCAAGTTGCAATCAAATGATCTCTGTTGAAGGTACATTTGAATTCTAAAGAAAATGATAGATTAAAAGTAGATAGAAGAAGATATACCATGTAAATTTAAGCATAAGAAGGTTGACAGAGTAATATTTATACCAAATAAAATAGACTTAAAAACAGTGATCACCAAAGATAAGAAAGGATATTTCATAAAGATAAAAGGGTAGTTCTGTCTTAAGAGCACAACAATCTTAAGGTATATATGTCTAATCAATGAAATTCATAATATATAAAGCAAAAATTTACATAATTAATGGGAAAAATATACATTTTCACACTCCTAGAGATTGTGACTCCCTTCTTGATATAACTTGATCCCCACCCTGCCAAAATCAGTAAAAAAGCAAAAGAATAACCCAGATAAAGAAAAATAATCATGATCATATAGGTTGATGCAGGAAAACAACCTTTTGACAGTAACAACATCCATTCATGATAAAACAAAAACAAGAACAAAACAAAACTCCTAGCAATCTTGGAATAGAGGGGAGTTTCCTTAACTTGATAAAGAGCATCTACAACAAATCTATAGACAATGTCACACTTCATTATGAAACTGAATGCTTTCCCCCTAAGACTAGAAACAAAAAGATGTTTGCTCTCACTCTTATTCTACATACTACTGGAATTCTAGTCAACACAATAAGGACAAAACGAACAAAAATATACATGTAAAAAGTGTATGGTTTGGAATGGTAAAAATACAATTGTCCCTATTTAAAGATGGCATAATTGTCTACATAGAAAATCCCAATGAATCTACAAAAAACTTCCAAACACATGGGTTTCCACAGGCCACATGAGGCAAGGCCAACATAAAAATCAACAGTGTTTCAATATGTTAACAACAAATATGTGGAGACTGAAATTTAACACGAGATGAGTTAAAATTTCTCCGAAGAAAATGAAATCCTTGGATATAAATCTAACCATACAGATCTAGGATCTGCATCCAGAAAATTACAAAATGTTGGTAAAAGCAATCAAAAAAGACCTAAATAATTGGAGAGACTTGCTATGTTTATGGATTAGAAGATTGGACATGGGAAAAATGTCAAAACCCCAAACAGGTCTACAAGATTAGTGCAATTACAATCAAAATCCCAGCAATGCCTTTGCAGACAGAAGTATGTTTATTCTATGTTTTCTATAAAAGGGAAAAGGATACAAAATAGCTCAAACAATTGTTTGGAAAAACAAAGTGGGAAGAGTTATTGTACACATTGCGGAGGCTTATTATATAGCTTCAATGATCAAGACCATGTGGTACTAGCAGAAAGTAGACATACAGAGTAATAGAGAATAGAGAACCCAGAAATAGACTCACTCAAATAAGTCCAACTAATTTTTGACAAAGGTGCAAAGCAATTAAATGGAAGAATAGCCTTTCAACAAATGGTGCTAGAACAATTGGCCATCCATAGACACAAGAATACACCTCAGCCAAACCTTACATCTCATGTAAAAATTAACCCTACATGAATCACAAATTTAATGTAAAGTATAAAATTTGGGGGCAGGGGAAAGAGGATAAAAGGGATCTAGGGTTAGTCAAAGAGTTCTTAGATATGAACCTAAATGCATCATCCATAACAGGAACAACTGATAAATTTGACCTCATTAATTAAAAACTTCTTATCTACAAATGACTCTGTTAAGATATGAAGAGACAAATAATAGAGTAAAATATCCGAATACCACAAAGCCAACAAAAGACTTTTATCTAGAAGATATAAAGAATTCTAGGGTTGCCTGGGTGGCTTAATCAGTTAAGCTCCGACTTCAGCTCAGGTCATGGCTTCATGGTTCATGGGTTCGAGCCCTGCATTGGGCTCTGTGCTGACAACTCGGAGCCTGGAGCCTGCTTCGGATTCTGTGTCTCCCTCTTTTTCTGCCCCTACCTTCCTTACAATCTCTCTCAAAAATAAAATAAATGTTAAAAAAAAAATTTTTTAATATAAATAAGTCTCAAAGCTCAACAGCAGAAAAACAAAAGAACAGCAGCAACAACAATAAAAAACCTATCCTAATAGAAAAAAATTCAGACATGAATAAACATTTCACTGAAGAGAGTATACAAATGATGAATAAACATGGGAAAAGTTATTCAATACCATTAACTCTTAGAGAACCGCAGATTAAAATCACAGTGAGGTATCACTATATACCTGTCAGAAGGGGTAAAATTAAAAATAATGATAATGTCAATGGAAAAGATAAAATGATACAGCCACCCTAAAGAGCAGTTAGGCAAATTCTTCTAAAACTAAAAATATATTTACCATACAACTTAGCAAGGGGATTTATGCAAGAGAAATGACAACCTATGATCATGTAAAACCTATACACAAATATTAATAGCAGCATTAATCATAATATCGAAACACTGAATGTAAAAAATCTCTCCGTGGGTGAAAAGTTGAACTGTAGAACATTCCTATGACAAATGAATAAAGAGACTGAAAGACTCGATATTTTAAAGATGCCGCTTCTCTTCTAAATTCATCTATTGAGTTGATGCAATTTTAATAATTTCAGCAGGGTTTTTTTTTTTTTTGTAGGAATTCAGAAGTTGATTCTAAAATTAACTTGGAAATACAAATGGCTTAAAATAGTCAAGGCAATTTTTAAAAAGAAAAATTTGTAGGATTAACTTTCAGACATATTATTAAGCTACACTAACCAGCACTGTGTAGTGTTGAGATATAGAGGTCAATAGAAGAAAATGTAAATCTAAAACCAAGCCTCACATATATATGGTCAAGTGATTTTGGACAAAGATGTCAAAGCAATTCAAGGCAGAAATAGAGATTTTTTTCTCAACAAATGTTGCAGGAATAACTGAATATTTGTATCTAAAAAATTGCCAACCCTTACATCATACCATACTCAAAAATTAACTTGAAGTAGACCATTGACCTAAGTATACAAGCTGAAATTATAAAACTTCTAAAAGAAAACATAGAAGAAAATTTTCACAACTTCTCATAGGCAAAGTTAGCACACAGAGTATGAAACAGAAAACCAAAAATTGGTCAGCTGAACTTTACCAATATTAAACTTTTCTGCCCTTCAAAACCTCCATGAACAAAAAAAGGCCAGCCATACAATAGAAGAAAATATTCACAGTACAGGTCTGACAAAGGAATTGTACCCAGAATACATAAAGAACTCCTACCACTCAATAATAAGAAAACAAAATAGGAAAATATGTGAGCAGAAACTTTATAAAAGATATGGAAATGTCTAATAAGCATAGGAGATGATGCTTTACATCACTAGTCATAAGAAAGATGCAAACTGAAACCATAATAAGGTACCACTACATATCTATTAGCATAGTTAAAATTAAAATGACAATATTTGAGGCGCCTGGGTGGCTCAGTTGGTTGAGTGTCAGATTTCAGCTCAGATTACAATCACAGTTCTGGCTTTGAGCCCCATGTCAGGCTCTACGCTGACAGTTCAGAGCCTGGAGCCTTCTTCAAATTCTGTGTCTCCCTCTCTCTCTCCCCCTCCCCCACTCAGGCTGTGTCTCTCAAAAATAAATAAACATTTAAAAAAATTTTTTTTAAATAAGTAAAATGACAATCCTAAGTACTGACCAGGTTGTGGAAGAGCTGGTACACTCACACATAATAGGTAGGAATGTAAAACATTACAATTATTTTTGAAATCTATTTGGCATGTTCTTTAAAAGTTAAACATGTTTATCATCCAATACAGCCATTCTAAGATAAATGAAAATGTATGTCCACACAGATACTTGTAAACTCATGTTTACAGCAGCTTTGTTCATAATAATCAAAAACTACAAACAACCCAAGTGTCCAACAACTACACATTACAGTATATGAACACAATGGAATAATACTCGGCAGTAAAAAGCAATGAACGGATACATGCAACAACCTGGATGAATTCCAAAATTATTATGCTGAATGAAAGCAGGCACACACATAAGAGCGCATACTGTATGATTCCATTTACATAAAATTCTAGAAAATGCAAAGAAGCCATAGCGACATAAAACTGATCAGTGACTGGAGGGCACCTGGGTAGCTCAGTGGGTTAAGTGTTGAACCTGATTTCAGCTCAGGTCATGATCTCATGGTTCGGTGAGTTAGAGCCCCTCATAGGATTGGCGTTGTCTCTCTCTCTCTACCACTCCCCACTCATGCACTCTCTCTCTCTCTCTCACAGAATAAACTTAAAAAAAAAAAAAATGATCTGTGATTGCCTAGGGCTAAAAGTGAAGATTGCATGATGTAAAAATTTCTGAATCTCGATTGAAGAAGTGGTATGTTGGGAATATTACACATCTGTCAATACTCTCAAATTTTAGGCTTTATAGGATGCAGTTCACTTTATGTAAATGATACTTCAATAAAGCTGGGTTTTGTTTTTATTTGTTTAATGACACATAAATGTCATGGTGACTGCCTTCAAGGAGTTCATCACCACTCCCCCAAATGTCACTCTTCTCCATGCTTAGAGGCTGGTAGATTTACACTGATCCTTTGCTCTCATTTTGTCCTATCCGTGTGACTTCTATTTGCAACGTGGGACAAACGTTTAATTTGTGGCAGACAGAATCTGCAACTTTTATCTCGCCTCCTTTAAATCTGAGTTTGTATAAGTCTTCCTGACAGAATGCGATGTTCGTTAAAACTGCTTATTAAGCATGAGGAAGAAATAACATTCAGCTGCAGTCTAAAGTTACATGAAGTTGAAACATCTCAGAATAAAGCAACCAGATACTTTTTCTGTAGATGAAGTTAGGGAAGAAAAACCCACTCCTGCAACATTCAAATACATCGTACGCTGAGTGGTTTAAAGGGACATTTTAAGCTACCATAAATTAATGTGATATCACGTAATTTCACACAAAGTTTACCTATGTGAATATAACCACTTGTAATAGACTTCCCACTCTGCAAAAAAAAAGTTTTTAAACGCTCTGCAATAAACATCAAGACAAACTTACCGAAGAAATGATTTAATATTTTCAGCTTTCATCTCAGATACCAGGTTCCACCGCATACTTTGATGATAGCCCAGTGAAGTGCTTTCTTTGAAAGGCTTAATAAACCAGCCTGGGGTGGGGAGTGGGGAACAGAGGGGGAAATATATACATATATACATGTTACATACAGACATAATTGTTTTTAGCTTTTATGAACATTAGAAGCCAAAAAATAGTGCTTGCATAAGAAACCGTTCACGGCAGGCTTTACAAAAATGTTCATATTAAATTCAGAAATCCTTCAAATTCTGCTGTGCAACGTAATTTTGGGTGGGTTAAAACTAGTTTTATGTGAGAGAGAGATAACTTATTTTTCTACATGTTCTGCATCAAGGCGCAGGGCCTGTCTTTCTCATTCTCCTCGGGGTGGTCTAGTTTGTAGCACAGTGCCTGACACACAAGGAACATTCCACGAATATCTATTTAGTAAGTGAGGAAGGAAGGGCAGTTTTTGCAGTGCTGTCCACATTCCTTGCTAGTTTTGGCTTGTTAAGCGTGCTTGTAAATGAAACCATCTTTTCATCCCTGTGGATAGGTAGATAGTGACAGCTCTGACCTGCTTTCCTAACAGCTCCTGGCAGTATCCTCAACTCGCTGTAAACTTTAATGAATGTGGATTTCAGTCGCACTTTATTAGGAAGGTCAAAGTCATCCCACCGGGGTTCCAGCTGGGCTGAATTCCGCGGGGCTGGCCACAGCTCAGGGAGCCCCGCCAGGGCCTCCAGGCTTTCTGTGTCTCCTCCCAGCATCTGAGCCAGAAGCGCCAGCCCCGCGCTGGGGACACGGGGCGCTGGGGACACGGGGCTCTGGGGACACGGGGCTCGTACTTACCCACCATAAATCCTGCCAGGAAAGATGCCAGCACCGCAGCCAAGCACATCCAAAGGTAGCGTCGGCCCCTGGACTTCGCCATGCCTCCCTGAGGACCGAGCTTAGGGGGCTGGCCAGAGCGGGCCTCTAGCCTGCAGACCAACAGAGAGCACCCCGGGAAGGTGGTGAGAGCCCGCCCACCCGCAGGCTTTCTGCAAAGCCTGGCCACTGCCTCCACCCTCCCAACCAGGCCCAAACAACTCGTTGCCCCTCTGGTCCTCAGGGGGCCTTCCCGGGGAAAGAGGAATTCCTGCGAGGGGAGGAGACAGAGCCTTCCCATTGGCAGGCAACTTCCATTCTGTTGATCCTGTAAAAACCGGGACAGTCTGCTCTGGGGGGATGGGGAGGGGGTGGCTGCCGGGAAAACATCTCTAATTGTTTCCTAAATAACTCAACTGTCAACCTTGAAAATAAAACAGTTAATCTGCCAACAAAAATGAGTCAAGAATAGCAGAAAATTACAATTCCAAACATGCCTTGCTACAGCAAAACCATAGGCAAGGCAGGAGAACCAAGGAGATTAATGCTCTTTTATGGAGGGGTGGGGGCACTTGGGAGGGCTGCTTTAAACAAGTCCATTGGAGTACAAAGTTTATTTTGTAGGAGTTTAAAGTTTACTGGCTTTTCATTGGCTGAGTTATGACGGTCTCTCATTGGCTGAGCGGTTGCTGGGGGAGGAGAAAACCTTCCTTCCTTCCTTGTGCTGGGGTATATCCCCTTGCAAGGTTCATCTCTTCTGGCTCTTCTGGTCTGCATCTGCAATTGGTGATGAGTGGCAGAGTGTGAGAGCTTCCCTCTTCGGGCCTCTTCACTCCATTTTAGTTAAATTTACCTTTATTAATTTTTACATTTCTTCTCTTTGACCAATATCTCTCCTCAAAAGCATCACTGAGCAAGAGTCAGGTTTTCCATATTTAGTGGTTTTGTCCCTTGGGTCCAGGAAGGACTTTTCCTGGTTGTCATGTCCCATGTGCAAGGGAAAGTACAACATACCAGTCGGAAGCCACTAAAGACCACATGGTAACAGAAAAGACTTGGAGGCAGAATTCTCAGGCACTTCCCCGCTCAAGTCCATATCTTCTCAAAGTCATAAGCATTGGAAATCATCTCTGAAGCACTGAGCTAGCATCGCATTTTTCAAAACACCGTTTATGCAAAAGTTTGACGGGGAACAAAACGCAACACTTAAAATAATATACAAAGCAAAAGTAGTAACGTGACAATTCCAAACTGTAGGATTGCCCTCAACCAAGACTCTAGGTCAGAAAGTAGCCAATGAAAAGCTTTATTGGCTCTTATTCCAATTTAGGGGAGCAAGGTTCCGCCTTAGGAAGGCAGAACTGAAGTCATGTATGTTTCCTGGAAGTCCCCCACTTAAAACAACCACGAAATCAGATTAGTGGATACAGCAAGAGCACACTGAAAGAGTTAACTGAGTGCGTTTTGGAAGATACAGTACAGGCGTAAATATGAAGCAGTAGCTGATGAACTTGTTGCAAAACTTCAAAGATGTTTTAAAACGAACTGTTTGGAAGCAAATATGTTATCGATAATACAGATGTAAAGTTGTACATTCAGAAACCACGAATCTGGGTTAGAATCAGGAGTCAGTAGTTCAAGATAAAAGACTTTTGTGAATTCTGAACCTTAACCCTTCAGAGAAAGCTCACGGGATCGTGATAAGATTGTTTCCAAAAGGCCATAAACAAAAGAACAGGTCTCCTCCTTTTGCAAGAATTTGTGAAATGCAGACAGAGCATTTTCTTTCCACAAGAGATCGAGCAGCAGCAAACAGCGAGAAAAAGGGCTACAGGCCTGGCCTGGACATTTTGGGAAAGCTGTCTCGTTAGATGTTGTCTGTTTCGATTCAAATCTTTACTTTCATGTCACCACCAGCTGGTGTGCAGTTCCAGTCAGGGTTTGATGCTTTCTTTGCATGGGTCATGTGAATCCAAGAATCTATTCCCTGGAGTTTAATGGCCCAAGGGTTGGTTAGCAGTTTCTGATAAGGGCTTTTCCAGTGAGGCCTTTCTGGAGGGGTCTATTCCAATAGATGAAATCTCCAGGTTGCAGAATATTTGAGGTCTCCCAGGAGTACATGGTGACAAGATTGCTCTACCAAAGCATGGTTATTTTTAATAGAAGCAACTAGGCCTTTACAATATTAAAGTAGATCTCCTTTTATCAACTGTGAGTCAGAGGAGGCAAGGGCCAAGTACACAGGACATCCTGTGACCATCTCATCACTGTGCTACAAAGGATGAGGGTCTCTGAGTCCCAAAGGGGGTGGATCTGAGATTTAGAGGACCAACAGCAATGCTTTGGAGGTATTTGGAGGGTCTGTACAAATTTTGCCAACTAGTGCTGTTAGTGCATTTGACTAACCCTGAGGACTGAAGATGGCATTCACAATGGAAGTTGTAAAACTGTCCAACAGACTTGTTGAAGCACCTGACTGGTAAAATGACCTCCCCAATCACTATGAAGGTTAAGAGGGGTTCCCCAAGGAGGGATAATCTTTTCTAACAGACTTTTAGCCACAGAATAAGCATTGGACTATCTACAAGGGAAAAGCTTTGGTCCAATGAGAAAATAAACCATAATTACAACACATTTATATCCATGAGACAGGGATGCTGTATGAAACCCATTTGTGTGAATAGGTTTTTTTTTTTTTTTGGATTATACTTTGGACAGGTGAGACAAGCAAGGTAGGTACTTTTTGCAGCCTTTTTAATATTTCCCCACCCACATTCCCAAACACTGTTAGTTTGTCAGTAGACCAATCGTTTAATGCATGTACAATGGTAAGTAGTGGGAATTCTAGGACTTCTGGCAAGGCAGGATTGTTAGATCTAAACCAGAGTTATCTTTGTTTGTATATTAAACCAACAATTATTAGATTTCTAATATTTTTCCCTGAGGCCAATTGTTGGATTGCTCTTGTCAATATTTCCAAATCATCATTTGAGAGAACATCTCTTTCAACAATGAGAGAGCTTTGGGTCTTGGTTTCCTTGAGATCAGTGTTTTGGTGGGAATGTCAGTGAGACAGTTTCCTTTGGACTCTAGGGATCCAGTCTGGAAGGCCCAGGAAGCTTAATAATAGCCAGAGTTGCCTGAAAAAGTATAGTACCTAATAAATTTTGAAAGTGGGAGCCATTTTTTATTTTATTCCCATTGTTGGTGAGGAAACTTCATTGTTTCCATAACATTCCAAAGTCATGAGATACTCCAAAGGCACACCAACTCTCGGTATAAATGTAGTTTTACCCTTGGCTAAGGGTAAATGCATATAACTCAAACTATTAGGCCAAAATAGCCAAAGGGAAAGGAGCTGACTCAATGACTTCCAAAGGAGTTGCAATAGCATACCCAACACAATATTTATCATTTTAATCCTTTAAATTGAACCATTAGTAGGGGCACCTGGGTGGCTCAGTCAGTTAAGCGTCCGACTTTGGCTCAGGTCATGATCTCACAGGTTGTGAGTTTGAGCCCCGTGTCAGGCTCTGTGCTGACAACTCAGAGCCTGGAGCCTGCTTCGGATTCTGTGTCTCCCTCTCTCTCTGCACCTCCCCCACTTGTGCTCTCTCTCGCTCAAAAATAAATTAAAAATGTAAAAAAAAAATTAAAAAGGAAAAGAACCATTAGTAATCCATGAAAAATCTGCACGGGTTAGAGGAGTTTCCTATAAATTGTCACAGGGAGTCAAAAGGTGATCTATCAGCATTAAGCGGTCACGTGGGATTTCCTCCATGATGGAGAGAATAGCAGGACTAAAGGTATTGTAGGAGAAGGTCATATAAAGGAGCAGTTAGCAGGATGATGACCCAGAAGGGAAGTAACCGAAGTGTTGAGGGTGATGAGAATTCAGAAGAGCTTCTGCTACATGGAACACAGGATGGTTAGAGGATCCTGTGATTATTTCTCCCAAGGCCTTAAAACAGAAGAGCAGTAGCAGGAATGACTCTAAGGCAAGGGGGTTATCCCCATGCTACAGGGTCCAACTGTTGATTGTAATGCCCCATTTGTTGATAGTGCTCCCCGTATTTTGGGGTGAGTATTCCAAGGGCATGGCTTTCCCCCTCACATACGAAGAGGGGAAAAAAGAAGTTGATAATTAGGATGTCTGAGGACAGTGGACTTAATTAGGCTTTTCTTTAATGTCCCAAAAGCTATGTCATCGTGATCCTTCCAAATAATAGGGTCATTTTCAAATAAAATATATGGAGGTTGAGCCCCAAGAGAGAAGTTTGGAATCCAATTTCAATAGTAGACAGCCAGTCCAAGAAAACTTCATAAATAGCACTTAGTTTTAGGTTTTGGGAAGTTCAGGATGCCATGAAGCCTACCTGGATCCAAATGTAGTCCTTGTTCTGAGATCAGGTACCCTAAGTATCGAACCTGAGTTTGAGCAAACTGCATTTTTTCTTTGGAGACTTTGTGCCCCTTTGAGGCCAAAAGTTTTAACAGATGGATGCTGTCTTCCTGTGAAGAGGTGTGAGAGGGGAGCAGAGAAGCAAATCACCTATGTATCATAACAAATAGAACCTGCAGAAAACTTCATCATCCAAATCAGCCTTTAAGGTTTGTGAAAAGAAAAGACTCTCACCCTGGGGCATTACTGTCCAGATGTATTTCCAGTCTTCCCAAGTGAAAGCAAAGAGATACTGGCTATCATTATTAACAGGAATACTAAAAAATGCTGTGCAATTATAGTGAAAAAATTGCTTTCAGTAGGAATGTGTGTCAGGAATAACAACATGCCAAGGGACAACAACGTTATTTATTGTTCAGAGGTCCTGGACAAATCTCCATCCTCTGCCGCTGCATTCTCTCACAGGTTAAATAGGGGTATTATAGGGACTAGGGGAAGGGAATAGGGACTAGGGCAGGGGAAATGGGGCCCTGAGCCTTGCAATCTTATATTATGGAGCTAATGCCTTAGAAGGACTTCTTTATTTGTAGGTTAATTTATTAAAATTGATTAATAAATCTTTATTAATTCTGAGAAGTTTTGAGGGATCCACCTGAGTCTTGATGGGAAGTACACTGGACTCCACCATTGTCATTTAGACATTTTGCCCATAAGAGGATGGTAGCTGATCCAAGAATAAATGATCATGGTCTCCAGACTCAGCTATAGTGACATCAGAGACAGAGCAAATAAAAGATATCAAAGAGTCATTTAATTTCCCTGGTTGCTTATTTAGATTACTACTGTCAAATTCTAGATTTCCTCTTTTTGGGTGAAAGAAATTCCAGCATGATTATTTTCTAAGAAATCTTGGTCCAGGGGCGCCTGGGTGGCGCAGTCGGTTAAGCGTCCGACTTCAGCCAGGTCACGATCTCGCGGTCCGTGAGTTCGAGCCCCGCGTCGGGCTCTGGGCTGATGGCTCAGAGCCTGGAGCCTGTTTCCGATTCTGTGTCTCCCTCTCTCTCTGCCCCTCCCCCGTTCATGCTCTGTCTCTCTCTGTCCCAAAAATAAACGTTGAAAAAAAAAAAATTTTTTTAAAAAAAAAAGAAATCTTGGTCCAATAAATGAATAGTGGGGGAGGAACTAAGGAGAAGAGTGTGCATGTCACAAAGGCCTAGATAAAAGGAGAGACAGACAGAAAGGAACCTGTTGGCATTTATTAAAGACCCCCACTATCTGAACTGTTTTCGTGCTCTGAGATGGGGCTGATTTAAAGCAGTGGGGGTAAGCACTGGGAGTGTTGTTCTGGTGTCAATAAGGACAAAGAGAGAGTCATTCCCAAACTGGAGAGTGGTTTCTCTAAGCCAATTAGGAAGGAATATTGAGAAGAGCCCCTGTAGTTCCTCGGTGTGCCATTACTGGGAATGAAGAGGACATTGGAAAAACTGGCTAGGGGGCTGATGGCACCTGGAATGATTAAATGTGTAACAATCCTTTTGTCCAATGTCCTGGCCCTTTGCAAAGCTGCCAGAAACTAGGAGGTTTTTGGTTCTGTAGAGGAGCCTTTGATTTCCAGAACTGAAAATTGGAACTGTAGCCATCTTTCTTTTAGGTGACTTATGTGGGATATGAACAAGCTAGTTTGCCAAATTGCCTAAATCTGGAGTGGACACAGTTCCCCATTCCATCAAGTTTCTTTTAACTAAAAGGGAAAGATCCCCTTTCAGTGAATTAACAAAATTAAAAGCTACCCACGTGGATTCAACATTGAAACAAAGACCAAAACTTCCTTTACAGACATTTTGGAGTGGACTGTAATAGACATAAACAGTTTCACCAGGTTTTTGTGTACAAACCTGAATTTTGTTCTCATCAACAGGTTTATGAAAAGCTACTGTAATTGTTTGGTGGAGATTTCCAGTGAGAGTTCAAGTATTTTGCCAAAAGTTAGGGGTTTATTTTTCTACATCCCTTTCAAGATGTCCCCATTGAGTTAGTTTTATCCAATATTTGGCCTGGCCCTCACCAACGGGCATGTGGCCTCACCAACAGGCAGGTGGACTGATATAAATCTGAGAAACCAGGTTGCACATTTGAATAACTATGCTACATTCTTCAGCAAACCTAAAGGGGTCCTCAGTCACTTTAGGAAACTACAGCTTAAAATTCAGGTCTTCATAAGAAATTTGGGGTTCATTCAGATCCTCAGAAAACTTAACTTTATAGGGGCTGATTTTAATACATTCAGAAGAGGAAGAACTGAGAAAGGATTCAAAGGAAAAAGGAACTTAAGCAAAAGGATTAGAAGAGAGAGGGGACATATACAGGAGGAAAGGCTGGCACAAAGGAATAGAGAAAAGTGGTACTGGAGGAAGGCCCTGTGCACAGGTGTCTGGGTACAAATGAGGGGGAGGGGGAAAATAGTCCTCAGAAGCCATTTTGATTCCTTTCAATTGTTTGTTTCAGTTAACTTAGAAATAGTATTTCACAAAGAAGCAGAATTAGAATTCTAAAAAAACATTTGGAAGCCTCAAGGTACCAATGAAATAGGCACCCCAGTTTTTGTTGTTTTTCTTTTAGCTGTGACTTTCTAACTGGGGAAATCAGAAGTTCCTCATAATGGCCATTAAAGTTCTAAATTGCTTTTGGTTAAGTTGGCCCATTTAGTTAGACATGCACATGAGGAGGGACCACAGTTTTTAAACATAAAACCATCTGGGGTTCGAGAAGGAAGGGACCCTTCAAAGCATTTTGATGACTAGAATTGCATTTTTTTTTTTTTAGAAGTGTTCTCTAAAGCAAAAAGCAAAGTTTCTAAATGGCACAGTTCCAATAGGAACACCCTGGTTCCAAAAAGGAGTCTCACCAAAGATTAGCAGAGTTCCAAAAGGCACAGCCTGGTTCCAAAGAGGAGGCATACCAAAAGCTGAACAAGTACTCTCAGAAAGACCCAGACCAAAGTAGATCCCAAATGAAGCCTGTAGAGATCACTACAAACACAAAGAAAGCAGAGACCAAATCCAGGAGAAAACTTACCCTCAAACTCCAGGGTCGGCAAGAAAGCAGTGAGCTCAGCTGGCTCTTTGGGGTCTAGCACCTGTTTGCTCACTAGCCTTGGAGTTATTGGGGGGTCTTCTTGAGATCCCATATCTGCTCACCAAGGAATGTTAATCTTAAAAGTTAAACTGTCACTTATTTCACTAACAAATATGGGTTATTTCGGGAGTTGTAGAGAGTTCCAGTTCAGGACACGCAAGCTCCCAGAGAACAAAGAAGAATGTTCTTTTCTGGGGGCGGGCAAAGGGGGAGGGAGAATGATTGCTGTTATAATCAAACAGTCTGTTGGAGTAAACTGAGAGTCTGAAGTATAGTGGCTTTTCATTGGCTGGATTGTGACAGTATTTCATTGGCTGGGCTGTTGGGGAGGGGGATGACCTTTCTCCCTTCTGCTGGGTCAAGTAATAGGATTAGAAAGGTAAGTCTATCCCTGTTAGGGTCTGCAATTGGTGATGAGTAGTACAGCATGAAAGCTCCCTCTTCTGTTCTTCCCACTCTATTTTCATGAGCTTTCTCTTTGTTAATTTTCACACTACTTTCTTTCTTGTGTCTTTGCCACCTCCATTCAATTGCTGAATTTCAGCAGCAGCAAAGTGCATATAAAAACTGCTTTTCCTTCCCTGTTTATCATTCTGCTGCCAGATTCTGTCCTAAGTTCTAACTGGATACACTTGGGAAACATTTCTGACCCAGGCTGCTCCACTATAACCCATTAGTTCCTTAACCCACGCATCAATATCAAAACTAATCAGATTGAGTTCTTTTGTCCTCTGTACCTAGGCAAGGCTCCAAATTTCCATAATTCTCAGTTTCTTTTTCTGTCCTGGGGTTTTTTCCCTACCTTATTAAAATACTGTAGGTTCAAATGGATAAGATTAACCACTGTAAGTGCCTTGCACCATAATGAACAAGAGGTTCTCAACAAATGGCATCTTCCCTGTCCCCCCCTTCATGTCAGTTATGCAGCATTTCTCTTTAGAAGTGTTTAGAAGGTTTGCAAAATAGGACTCCTGCATCCATCCATTTCATCCTAAAGGAAAATCTTTAGCAATTCATGACTGAATTCCTTGTATCCAACCAAAAACAGTTTTGCTGCCAAACCAAACATGCCTACTGAGTAAATAATGGAGACAGTACATCTACAGTTATACTTCCAATCTTCATTGCACTGTTTGATTCCTTGATGATCATAGTTAAGACACCTCTCTTTGGTCTTAGCAGGTTGCCAAAAGAGTCTAAATTCATTTTTATTGCACTGTAATTGATGATAGATGTACTGGATAGACTTTTCCCTTGGAACTTTCGTAGAATCCCTGAGAGTTAACTTTGAACCAAATATCTTTAGTCAACTAATTGATTTCAAAATATTTGTAACTCAACAACAACAACAAAAACACCTCACAAATGACTTGATTAAAAAACGGACAGAGGACCTGAATAAATATTTTTTCTAAAGCCAACACAGATGGCCAACAGACACGTGAAAAAATGCTGAACATCACTTTCATCAGCAAAATGCAAACCATAACCACCTGAGACATCACCTCACATTTGTCACAATGGCCAAAGTAAAAAACACAAGACATAACAAGTGTTGGCAAAGGTGTGGAGAAAGGGAAACCCTTGTTCACTGTTGGTGGGAATATAGTGGTGCAGCCACTATGAAAAACAGTATGGAGGTTTCCCAAAAAATTAAAAATAGAAATACCATATGATCCAATAATTTCAATGCTAGGTATTTGCCCAAAGAAAACTCAAGCACTAATTTGAAAAAATACATGAACCCCTATGTTTACTGTAGCATTATTCAAAATAGCTAAGATATGCAAGCAATCCAAGTGTCCACCCATAGATGAATGGATAAAGATGTGGTATAAATATATCATGACCGATTACTCGACCACAAAAAGAATTTGTCATTTGTGGGGCACCTGGGTGGCTCAGTCGGTTAAACGGCTGACTTTGGCTCAGGTCATAATCTCACACGTCTTGTGGGTTCTAGCCCTGCATTGGGCATTGTCCTGACATCCCAGAGCCTGGACCCTGCTTCGGATTCTGTGTCTCCCCCACCCCTCTCTCTCTGCCCCTCCCCCCGCTCATGCTTTGTTTCTCTCTTAAAAAAATAAATAAACAAGCATTAAAAAAGTTTAAAAAGAAAGAATTTGTCATTTGTGATAACATGGACATATCTAGAGGGTATTATGCTAAGTGAAATAAGTCAGGGAAAGACAAATACCATGTGATTTCACTTCTATGTGGAATCTAAAAAAACAAAACGGTTCTTAAATACAGAGAACTGATGGTTGCCAGAGGGAAGGTAGGTAGGTGGATGGGCAAAATAGGTGAAGGAAAGTAACAGGTACAAACTTCCAGTTGTAAGTCAGGGAAATGAGAAGCACAACACAGGGAAAATGATCAATATTTTAATAACACTGCATGGTAACAGATAGAGACTGCACTTACCATGGTGAGCACTGAGTACTGTATAGAGTCTTTGAATATAGATGTTGTTCATCTGCAACTAATATAACACTGTATGTCAACTATATTTCAATAAAAAAGATTTTTAGAATACTTCTATATTGCTAAAAAGCCCTAACATGATAGAGCCAGGCTCTTCCAGCCATTTGACATACCTTAACTGATGCCTCCAGCTGTTCTATTTTAGAGGTAAACACCTGCAAAAAGATATTCTCATAACAAGTTCCCCCACCACGGCAGCGGCGTATATGGCTAACTAGAATGAAGTTCTTCAAACAGAAGCAATAGCCAATGAAGTAGCTGTACTCCTCATAATTTAAGAAACATTTTCCTAGAACATCTATAATTATCTTCATCACTAAAAAGTATTGGGATTTTAATAAATATCTAGTCTCTGTTTTAACAGTGGGGTGACAAGGGTCTTCTGTAGGTCACAAACAATATCAAACATTTTATGTGTCAGTATACACGAATATATGCTACGTGTATACCTTTTAAGGACTTGCATAATTTATCTCATCCATGGTACCATTTGCTATTGACTACATCATTCTCATCTCTTTGTTGGCAAAAGAGAAGGTAGAAACTAAGGACTATAAGGACTTATTTGAGAAATTTGTTTTTGTACTCCTACCTCAACTTTTATTGCTAATTAAAGTTTGACTACTAGAAGAAATCAGTGTATTCACCAGCACAATTTCCCAATGTGATTAATCTTCCCAAATTAAAATTATTTATTCAACCAATATTTGACAGGTTATAGCATGCCAGACATGAAAAATTGAGGATATGATCCTGGCCTTTAGAAAGCCTAGGATACAAGGAGAAGGCAAATATTGAATATGTAATTAAATGTGAACAGTTCTAAGAAGAAGCAGTATTACCTTAACTCTGAACGTCTTCGCTGCCTCAATGGGTGGGATCTCCCATCTTTATCTTGCCAATCCATTGTATAAAAGTCTGGTTAGCTGGGTTAGCAAGTCTTTGGCCTTTTGTTGATACAAATACAAATTCATTGTTAAGTTGCTCTTATATAATCTTTTTTCCCCTCCCTTGTCTCACATCCTAAAAGAGCTGATCTTATAACTTCAAACCTCAAATCCTGTCAAACGAGTCACAGAGAGATTTGAAAACAAAGTGTGACATGTACTAATAAGGTGGTACGTGTAGAGTCATTAACATACCAGTAATTAAAATTTGATAGAGAAGGAACAACATTTAGCTTTGTCACACATCTCATGTTTTGTATGATGATGTTGTCTTATGTTTCATATGAGAGGGATCACCTAGATGCTAACTATACAGATATGGACTTTATGCCATTAATGATGTCTCAAGGTGACAGGATGTCTGGTCATCCAGACAACAAGGTTCACTTTCCAAAAAAAATAAATAAATAAAAGAATGGTTGATATCATGATGGCTGAGATTTGTGACAAGAGATACATCCTAGTTGAGTATTTTCAAACTCCTGGTGGAAAAACCACCAAAAATCAGTTTCAAACTTAAAATAAGGTGTTAGAATGTCAGTACATTATATAGTATACCATAACCTATAAAGCAAGTGAGAAGTGAGAAGTAGTACAGATAGTGAGAAAAGGGTACAAGACTAATAAAAGAGGGAAGACATTTGAAAAGAAAAGCAGAAAACCATGATTGGATGACTTTCTTCTGATGTCACAATTACTCAACAGTAAATGTAGAAACTAGAAATGGCCCATCAAGTTAAAGTGTAAAACAGAGACAGGGCCCCTACGTATGCCTTCTCATCAACACAGGATGTGTGTAACCATGATGCTAACATTCCAGACAGAGGTTTGGCAATGGTAAGTATATCATTTGGCCTTTAAAGCAAATTTTCCCGCTCAGTATTTCTTTCCCTGTATCATTAACATGTGCCTTCAGCCCATTTTCCATGACAGCTTTTACCTAATAGTGCTAAGATCTTCCAACACACTTGCATCATCCAGCCTCATTTATAGCCTCTATCCTTGTGTGCCTTCAGTATCATTTAATTATGAATAAATCTCTCTAGATTTTTTATCTTCCTTCCAGCCCTTTCTCTATTCTATCCTACCTGACACCTGTTTTCAGTGGATGATACCACTTTCCTCAAACAAGATAGTTTTCCACTTCACGGGGAAGTGGAAATGGGTCTCATGGAGACTCACGGGGTCAGAGAGGAAGGATGCACCTTTGTTCGGCACCATTATTCCACTGTGTCTTTTTTGAAGTTGCTACCCTCTGATTACATCATTTGCTTCCCATTCTCATCCTTGGCCCCAGTTGAACACCAATGAGTTCTCTCACCTTTGGCAGTGGTTTTAATGGTTTCCTTGTAGATTCCGGGCGAACCTCTGGGCCTTCACTCTTTATTTTCTTTCACACTTGTATCCAATCCACCCGTAAGTTCTGCTGGCTCAGCAGTTAAAATATAGCTTAAATCCAGCTGCTTCACCAGTATTCTAATCTTAGCCACAATCAGCTCTCATCCAGACTTCTGCATCAGCCCCCTAAGTGGTCTCCGCCTCCACTATTACTCCTGTTTAGACCATCTCTGACTTAGCGGAGTTTTCTTCCTAAACTAGCAATCAGATGGCGTTATTATCC